CCCCAAAACCCCAAAACCCCAAAACCCCAATTGCTTGCATCAATTAAAATATGAAATTAATTAAAATATTATTAATGAATTAAATGAAACTAATCCTTTGCTACCAAGTCATTTTAGTGATATTTTCTCTATCAATTAATCAGATGGTGGCATAAGTCGACTTGCGAGAAGGCTATTCAAATGAATGTATGAGAATGGAGGGAAGAGTGTGCATTGGAAATAATACTGTAATTGACAAGAACTCCAGAAGAGATAACGATGAGAGCATATTTGCATATTTCAACTTTGACAATGAATTCGGCTCTGATATGTCTATTAATGGCGTCAACCATCTTAAATATGATCCATCTGTACTTTCTAAGTTGATTCCTTCTTTCAATGGTAAGTCATACCTTCAGGAATTAGTAATAAGTAAAATTAAATATTTCTAGGTCAAGGCTTTTCACAGGAACTATCTGAAAGCAAATTCTTGACTTTGAATATTTCTAATATTGGGACGAATACTTTCAGTTTAAATTTATGGGTATTTTTGGTAGAGCAAGATTAAAGCTAAAACTAATAATTATTTTTGACTTATGCGGATAACATTCAAAACTTTGACATTTAGCTTTACTTAACTCCTTATGGAAATCTTAATTTGAAAACTAAAGATCGTCAAATTACTAGGACTAATTCTAGACTTAGACAAAGACAATGGAACCGATTGTCCATAAATATTATTGATAATTAAAAGGTGCAGGTTATTTTAAACTCGAAAGTTGATATTGACTTAAACATTGATCAGCCTTTTGACTATGGCTAGAATAGAGATGGCAGCAAGGCAATATATATTGGTGGAGACCCTTGGCATGATGCTTCAGGATATAAAGCCTTCATAGATGATCTTAGAGTTGTCAAAAGTTAAACAACAGGTAATATTCTTTACTAAGTTTAATAAAGTATATAGTGAGAAGTTAAGCTCAAAGTATGAGAGAGATCTACACTGATTAATAGTTATTTAACTTACAAAACGCAGATCTAGGTTGCAAATCGATAGTATTTGATTAAGCTCATGATTGCTGTCCTTCATCAAAGAATCATATTTGCGATGATATTGAGTTGACTTAATTTGGCTATGGAGTGGCAAAATTTATGGGATGGATTGATTAGAGTGAGATAGTTAGAGTATTCACTGCTGAAATGATTAGTAATAAATAATATAAGCCTGATTTTGAGCCTTTGGAAAAAGGACTTGTGATATGTTGCAAGAACAACCAGAATTGATTGCTAAATTAAAGATTAATTGAATTTTATTGAGAAATAATTTATTCCTATTCTCAGATATCCTACTAATATTTCATTGGGGTTTTGGGGTTTTGGGG